GGACACCTCTATAGATTCCATATATTGGCTATTTTCAGTCATCCTTTTAATATCCTAAAGCCCTTAAATAATTATGAGCCACCCTGATGCATAAATATACATGTATCTTCCAATGAAACAAAAGATTTTGGAAGCAGAAATAACCAGCTTTTGTTTGCTGTAGGTGTTTACAGGTTTTCTTTCATGAGGCAAGCATTGCCTGGCTGTTAATATCTTTTCTGATCATATCTAGTTAAGTTTTTGGAATAGATATCCCATTGCTTACTTTTAACTAAAAATATCTACTGTTTGTTGTGGAGACATGGTGCAGTATATCTCTCTATATCTAGAGCAAAAATGAACTCCCAGTGAAAGAGTTGGAAATATCCCGACAGTGGGAAGCTGGGCTCTCTGACACTGCCCATGCCTACAATGTCAGGAAACACTTCAATAGCACAACGATGGACTTATGACTGTTCATGAAGGACCACCCACTGTAATACTAGAGAGGAAATCAATAAAGGGAGAAGGAGTTTGGGGAGGGGGACAAGAAATCCCATACAGCCTATAAAACTGTATCATAAAACAATAACAAATAATAATTTTTTATAAAAGTATCTCGGGCCCAGCAGCGTGGTCTAGCAGCTAAAGTCCTCACCTTGAACACGCTGGGATCCCATATGGGTGCCGGTTCATATCCCAGCAGCTCCACTTCCCTTCCAGCTCCCTGCTTGTGGCCTGGGAAAGTAGTTGAGGACGGCCCAAAGCTTTGGGACGCTGCACCCGTGTGGGAGACCTGGAAGAGGTTCCTGGCTCCTGGCTTCGGATCGGCATAGCATCAGCTGTTGCACTCACTTGGGGAGTGAATCATTGGATGGAAGATCTTCCTCTCTGTCTCTCCTCCTGTCTGTATATCTGACTTTCCAATAAATAAATAAATCTTTAAAAAAAAATAAAAGCATCTAATGTTTTTAAGAAAGTAGTATTGGAAGCATTGCTAGTTGTGTCATCAACAGTGTTTTATATATGAAGTTCATTTCAAGCAAACTTAGTCTTCCTGATAGGGACACACTTTCCCATCGGGGCCAGGGTTGTTTCGTCTCTCCTACTGTGATTCACGTTGTCCTTTGGCCCTTCCTGGAAGCAAACCCAGGACAGACATTCAGTTCAATGACTCAGAATCTGTTCCCCATCATTATCACCACATCTACAGTCTCCTCTTTTCTTTGGCTCTGGTTTTCTGTTTCGATTTAATTAACCCTGTTATTAACTCTTTTGTGGTAGAACCTTTCCTATCCTTTTGAGAAAGCAGCAGGCAATTACAAACTATGTCTTCATTTAGTAATCTTAATAAATTGGTAAAACGAGTTTCAAAATAACCATGTGTGTGGTGCTGTGATTTTGTTGTTGCTGTTGTTGTTGTTGCTCTAATTCATTACTGATTGTTGACCTTTTTTGTGGCTTCTCCTTTGAGGCAATGTATAGTGATGGAGTAATAGAGACTACCATATCCAGATGTGGGGATATAATGCAATATGTATCCCTGCTTCCAAATAAAAAATGGACTCTCAGTGATACTGTTGGACTTTTGTAGACAATGGGATGCTGAACTGTCTGACATTATCTGTACCAACAATGTCAGGACGCACTTAAATAACAGACTGATGGAATCATGACTCCTTATGAAGGACTATACTATTGTAGCAACATGGGGAAACTCAGCTGGGGAGTGGAAATTTGGGGGAGGGTATTAGGAATCACAGACTCTATGGAATTGTACCATAAAATTCAACAATTAAAAATTAAAAATTAAAAAGAAACTAACCATGTATGGCCAAGTGATAAGAGTACAGACTTCACACCTAACTTTATTTCTGTATGAGTTTTTTTTTCTGTGAGTAGAGCACACAATGTTTTCATTAATTCTATAAAGTTGCGCTACTTGATCCAAAAAATAATCACTAGGTTAATCATAAAAGCTTGACAGGGAATGTTTGCTGACTTTTGTTCTCTTTTTGTTCAGTCTCAGAGTGCACATTTGATGTTGAAACTCTGAGTGTAACAACTCCCTAGGATTGTCAAGTACAGAGTGAAAAAACCACCTGGCAGTCACAGTCAACTCTCAAGATGTCTCATAACAGGAGAGTCTTTGTCCTCCTGTCTGGAAACTGGAAAGCAGCTAACTGTGAGCTCAGATCTGCCATTCAGCACTCTCACAAAGACAAATGACCACCCCTGACTCGGAAAGTTCTGTGAGGGCAGCCTGACCCAAACAAGGCGGGGAGGAAAAGTGTTCTGGCCACAGCACTTCCACCATCCCCACAGAGCCGAAATGTTCAGCCACATTCTGGCCGTTGGCCACCCAGCGATTAAGAAAACCCACCTCACTCATATCAGATGATTGTACAAATTCGATAACTTTAGAAGCAGTCAAGACAGTCTTGATTGAAATCTGTTGCAGAGGTGAAAGTACTATTATCATGGTTATTTACTACCTTGAGGCTCCTAGGATTCTTGGTCCTGTGTTTGGGAAGGTCTTCAGAAATTGATTAGAGGACCCAGCACAACAGCTTAGTGCTTAAATCCTCACCTTGCATGCCCTGGGATCCCACATGGACCCCGGTTCCTGTCCCTGCTGCTCCACTTCCCTTCCAGCTCCCTGCATATAGTCTGGTAAAGCAGTAGAGGATGGCCCCAAGCCTTGGGACCTGCACCTGCATGCAAGACCCAGAGGAGGCTTCTGACTCCTGGCTTTGGATTAGCACAGCTCTGGCCATTGCGGACACCTGGGAGTAAACCAGTGAACGCAAGATTTTTCTCTCTCTCTTTCTCTCTCTAAATCTGACTTTCCAATAAAAATAACTGGTTTCTTCTCTGGACTGCAGCCAGGTTTGACAAGCATGGATGCACCTGCCTAGCAGGTGTCTGTTGCTGAGAGATGGGAAGTGAGGCCTGTGGGCACTGGGCTTAGATCCTCAACAGCCATCGCATACTGGAGTGACCTTGTGCTCACCTTGAGGAACAGAAAAACATCCTTCAGGGGCTGGGAGTGCAGTCCTCAGAAAACCGGGATAAGCTGTCCTGTCTTCACCAGACCAATGCTTGGACTCATGCTTGTTATAAGGTGGGGGGACAGGGACATGGAACCTGTTGAGCCAGAGACATCTTGACGCAGCATGCCAGAAGGGTACCCTGAAGAGTGGGGTTCAAAGCTGGGCTGCTCATGAGACAGGGTACCTAGACTATCTTCCAGTTGAAACCTTTAGATTAAAGCAGTAGATGTGTGAATCCAACTCCGCCATTCTGAGCCTCAGTTTACTGTTCAGTAAAGCAGGGGTGGTAATATTTTGGTTATAAAATTTTGTGGAAGATTTAATGAGATCCTCAGCACATTATCTACACTTAATTTGGAAACATGAAGAGGTCACTTATTGTTAGGTGTAGCACATATCCTTTGGAACTATCTCAGTTTTGCCAAGAGTGGCTGTGTTTCTACTTCCCTGAAACCTTAGCGCAGCATAAGGAGTCACAAACCCTGCTCCAAGTTCGGGTTACACATCCCCAAATCCCAAGAAAGTACTCATGGAGGATTCTAACTGGAGTGTGTCTGAAGACCAACGTATCTGAACTACAAGGTCATGCTAATACCCTCAGTTGAGTGGCGCTTTCACCAGAATGCACAAATTTGGTTTTCAGCTATCAATAGTGATGGCAGGAAGGAAAGCCAAAAGATAAAATGTACATAGGTAGCAGTCTGCTGACATGGTAACTTTTTAAATTCTTATGCATTTATCTTTATTTAATATTTTTTTGAAAGACAAAAAAAAATCATAGACAGAGATCTTCAGTTCTCCGGTTCTCCCCCGCCCCACCCCCAGCTGCCTGCAGCAGCTGGGCCTGGGTCAGACCAAAGCCAAGAGCTAGGAACTCCATCTGGGTCTTTGCATGTGTGTGGCAGAGACCCGAGGACTTCAGCATCACCTGCTGCCTCGCATGGTGCACATTAGCAGGAGGTGGGATTGGGAGCAAAGCCGAGGCTTAATCCTGGGCACTCTGGTATAGGATATGGACATCCCAAGCAACGGGAACCACTGCAGCAAATGTCCACCTTCCCACCTGCGTTTTGTTTTCTCTCTTAAGACCACAGCTGACACAGTCTCTTCATCTCTTGTGTTGGATCCCTGTGAGGACAAGGGTATAGATTTCTTCTTCTGAGATGAAATCACTCTCTCTCAGTGTTTCCTACAGAGTTCACTATCAGCTAGAAACCTCCCTGGCAAATCCCACTGGCAAATACTCCATGACTTCCTGCTGAAGTAAAGGCCACAGTGCTTGGCTGGCCGAGAAAGCAAGCTCCACAGGCGTCACTCTGATCCCATTCCCTGCCTTCCTGAACACAGGCGAGGGCACCACTGGAGCTGCTAATATTTTGAGAAGTGTTTTTTGTAGGCTGTTTAGAGAATCCTCTTAGGGTCTTCCCTTCATCTTCTTACTTAGAAAATCCCAAATCTATACAAAAAAAAAAAAAGAATATACTCTCTCCAAGATTCACTAATTTTTATTGTATCTTTTTAAGAAAATATTTATTTATTTACTTAAAAGGCAGAGTGACAGAGAGGATTTTCCATCCACTGGTTCATTCCCTAAACGGTTGCAGTGGCCTTGGAGCTGGGCCATCCTAAATACAGGCACCAGAGTCCCAGCTAGGGACTCCCAACGAGACAACAGAGCCCCTGAGCACATGGACCATCTTCCACTGCTTTCCCAGGCACTTCAGCAGGGAGCTGGATCAGAACTGGAGCAGCTGAGACTTCACCCAGGGATCCAATTGCAGATGCTAGCCCAAGTAGCAACTTCCTCCACTGCCCTACAATTCCGGCCCCTTGATTCACTAATTTTTAAATATTTTGACACACTTGTGCTTCCTCTTTTTTTTTTCTTTCTCATTTTGGCTGAAGTACAGGAAATTGCAGACACATGAATCTTCTACTTGCCTCCACGTGCTTTTCTTAAGGTAGAACCTCACCACAGCACCTTAACACTTTGTGGGATTATCCCAGTCACACAGCCCTCGCTGCTCCAGGAACTAATCAAGGTTCCCCCCCTCTTCAGCCTCTTCTCATAGCTGTGCTTCTTCCGCTTTCTCTCTGTAGTTCTAGTATCCAGGCTAGCAGCACACCACGACTTCATCTCAGGCTCTTGTTCCGTGCTCCCCTGTGTTTCATGCATCCAGTGCAACAGAGTGTAACTAAAGAATCAAAGTCACAATTTGATCAGCAAGTCAAAATGAGCCTTCAAATCATGAAACAGTCTGAATTGGCTGTGTGGGAAGACGTCTGTTCGATTTGATCCTTTTCTGCCAGGGTGGGGATGTGCACTGACTCAGGTTTAAGCAAGGCAGATTTCCGTGTGGTTGTAGGTCACTTTCAGAATCAAAAGGATGCCTGGAAATAGTTTACAGACTTGATTATTGATGAAGGCGGCTTGTGATATTCCTGCACTGGGTGTTACCTGCAGATAAGAGGGGCCAATGGTGCAGTTATTAATCATTTTTTTCTTGCCATGGGTCTGAGGCAAAATGCTTACTCCTTGATGTCCTGCAGATGGTTTCTGGGTCACAAGATTTGCTGGCAGATCAGACTCCCTGGGGGGTTATGTACTCACGGCAATAACAGTGTCCCACCTGCCGGTCTCCACTGCCGCTATTCCACTGCAAAGCTATCCTATTAGTTCTATCAGCCGCTGTCTCTTAAGAACAACAGGTTGAGGTGGGCTTCACTTTCTGTTCTTTCCCCTACATGTCTTTAGTGAGAAGGACCCTGAAGACCCAGTCTGGGCATCCTGGCTCCACTCATTCTTTCAAGGACCAATCTTCAAGCTCCTTCTCTAAGCAGTGTCTGCTTTCAGCCCAGAGGCAGTGGGGAAGCTGCCCCAGTCAGCTTCCTTCCCAGGAGGAGCGACCCCAACCCTGCCACCCAGGAAGTGCTGAGGTTGGGATGCTGAGTGTGCTTACTGGTCCCGCTGGAGTGGGCAGAGCTGTGTCCCTCCAGAGGGTCCTTCCGCTGAAGCTTACACAAAGATGTATTCCTTCTGGAGTTCCCGAAGATGGTTCCTGGGTCACAGAGTTTGTTGATGGGTCAGACTATCTGGGGAACTGCCTGAGTGTGTGTGTAGCAGGGGCTGGGGGCGGAGCTGGTATAGTGGGGAACGGTTCTACCACCACAACTTCCCTATTACCCTGTTTCCCCTTGCTCAGCACTACACTTTCTGGATGGATCTACTGGACGTAGCTTTGGAAGTAAAGGAGAAGGCTGTAAAGAAAAAGAACTCCCATGCTGATTTCCAGGCCAACTTTACCAACTGTCTCCCTTTCAGAACTTTTAGCATGTTTTAAAAAAAAAAAAAAGTGCTATTTTGAATCAAAGAAGTACTTGCTTCCCCTTTATTTTGGGAACTGCAGCTTGTGAGTTTCAGAAAGGGGTGTGGCTGCCCTTTAGCAGCCTCAGAGCACAACGAATGAAATGCTAAGTGGATGATGTGGTGTCTGGGCAGAGTGAAGACAAGGGAGGTTTCCTCCAGCCATTCCTCCGGAGAGGTATTGCCTAATACTCTCCACCAAACTTCCAAATGCTGAGGCTAGGCAGTGGTCCCCAAATCCAATGGCACTTCCAAATTACACAGATCATGTTGGGAGCATGGTGCCCCCACTGAATCCCAGAATTTCCTGGAGTGAATCCAAGGAATGCATTCTGTGGGAACCACTGTCCTTGTAGGTTCTACAGAGGGGAATGGAGAGCATAGTAGATTTAGTTTTGTTTTCCATATTCAGATTGGACTCTGAGGCTACAAGGTAAGGCAAAAGCCACACCTAATTCAAACTTTCCAAATCATCTTCTTAGACCCCAGAGTGCTTTGTGTCATGCTTTGCTCAGTCTGCTATTATTGGTTTAGTGATGGAATGAAAGCGCTCAACGATTAGAAGCATATTAGCATGCACTGGTGGGGCTGCCCCCATGAACACAAGCCCCCTCTCACCATGGTGACTATACCTTCCCATTCTGGCCCACCGTCAGGGCTAAGGAATGTCCCATTTGCCTCCAGTTCTGCCACTTCTCCTGGTGTCTTACTGAGCAGCCTAGAGGATTTGATCACATGGTTATTCCTTTCCATCAGGAAGCTTTCCCTGAACACTTACTGTTCCTCTTGCCTGAGTTATATGGCCTTTCTGAGGCCCTGTGCAACCTCTGCCCATGATTCGCCACATTGTACTGTGATTTGAATTCACACATACTCACCAGCACTACAAACTGGTTAGAGAAGGATTTCTGTCTAGCTGATGCTGAGCAGTTTCTCAATAAACATTTGTTAAATGAACAAAGGGATGAAAGAAGGCATGAATGAGTAGCCAAGCAAACCTGATTCTGAGCAGTCTCTATATTGGCATTTATCAATCCATATACGATGAAGAACAAAGTATATTCTTTCACTCTTTTTTGATGGAGAGAGTGTGTGGTCTGAGGCCTGTTCTGGAATGGTAAAACAATGTCATTGCTTTTATATCCAACAGGAAATATGGGATGTATAAAATCAAAAAGGAAAGACAATCTGAATGACGATGGAGTAGATTTGAAGACTCAACCAGTACGTAATACTGACCGAACTATTTATGTGAGAGATCCAACGTCCAATAAACAGCCAAGGCCAGTAAGTAGATTAGTCTCAGGGGAGAATTCCCACAGCAGAATCAAAGCATGGCTGCATGGTGCACACCAGTCTGAAATATATACATGCAAAAATTTATGTTGATTCCTTGGACCTCAAATGATTTCTGATATGCTTTGCAATGTCATCCTTTGAAGATCGTGCAAACATTTTAAGGATAACCAGGCTATTTACTGTGTAATAAGCAGACATTTTGTGATTCTCACATGTGGAGAAAATCCACCTTTTGTATTACCAGTGCAAAGGCCCTGCACTACATCCACATAGATATAGGCTTGTGTAATTTAGGCCACTTATTGAGAATAGCCTGGTTGCCTGGAAGCAAAAGGAATTACAAGGTCTAATTAGAAGCTGAAATAGCTGTTAATATGTCTTTGGCAAAACATCCTTTATCATGTCTTGTCATTTCTTCACTTCAAGACAGTTGATATATTTAAGTTGTCATGATTTATCACAGTGAACTAAAAGATTAAAGAAAAAGTATCTAATTCTACCCCTTAACCTTTACAAAATATTTTCACTAGAATTTTCATTTGATAGACAAAGAGATAGAGGCATAGAAAGAAGGAGGGACACAGAGAGAAAGAGAATATGAACATGCATATCTGTGGGTTCATTTCCCCAGCCACCCACAATGAACTCCAAACAGGGGCCAAAGCAACAGTGTAGAATTGAATCCAGGTCCCCCATGTGGGTGACAGGGATCCAACTGCTGAGCATCACCACTGCATTCCAGGAAACATATTAGCAGGAGACTGGGATCAGGAGGTTGACGTGCATCAACTCAGGCACTCCAGTGCGGATTGTGACATCTTAACTGCTAGGCCAAGCCTGAGCCCCTGCACTAGCAACTTCATTCAGCGCATTTGGGAAATTCTTGGCACTAATACCACATGTTATAGACAGCAGTAACAGTGCTTTAGATAATTGTAATTTTAAATCCATTTTATTTCAGATTTGTACATATATATGCATATATACATACATACAAATACATATCCTCCTATAGCCTAGTGTCATGGAATACTGCAGTTTTCAAGCTAGAAAAAGCTTATTTCATGATAGCTGAAGCGCCTTCACGAAGAATCCCCAAGCACTGTCTTTCTGGTGTAACACATGAAAGCAGCACTTGCAAGGCCAGCATCTCATATTGGAATGCTTCTTTGAGTCCAAGGGGCTCAGATTTCTATCCAGCTGCTAACTTAGGTGCCTGGGAAGACAGTCAGTCATGGTCTGAGTACTTGGGTCCTGGTTACTCATCTGGGAGACCCAGATGGAGTTCCAGGCTCCTGGTTTGACCTGGCTTTAGCATCTGTGGCTATTTGGAGAGTGAAACAGCGTATGGAAGGCCTCTCATTCTTTCACTGTGCCTTTCAAATACATAAATAAATCTTTTAAGTTAAAGACTTGTGTCGTTTTAGTCTGACATGTTTTAAAATGACTTATCATTTTACAAGTGTATTCTGTAATCAGATCCTTCTGCCTGCCCTCCCCCTAGCTTTTCCTCTTTATCTTGCAGGTAGGACATGTTAATCCTGCATTAGGGTCACATGTCGAAGTCACGTGTCTTCACTGAGTTAGTCTTCTTGAAAGGAGATGAAACATCAGTGCATCATGCTATTAAGCTATCGTATGATTCTGGGTAGATGCACAGTATGACTTATATACTCAAAGTGTGTAAGAATATCAGTAACTAACAATTCAGTGACAATGAATGCATAGAATTTTTTTAAGATGTATTTATTTTCATTGGAAAATCGGATGTACAGAGAGAATGAGAGACAGAGAAAAAGATCTTCTGTCCACTGGTTCATTCCCCAAGTGCCTACAATAGCCGGAGCTGAGCCAATCCGAAATGAGGTGCCAGGAGCCTCCTCCTGGTCTCCCATGTGGGTGCAGCATCCCAAGGATTTGGGCTGTCCTTGACTGCTTTGCCAGGCCACAAACAGGAAGCTGGAGGGGAAGTGGAGCAGCTGGGACAGGGATCCACATCCATATGGAATCCCAGCATATGCAAGGCAAAGACCCTAGCCACTAGACTACCTTGCCAGGTTCAAACACATACAATGTAAAGCAAATGTGTCACAAATGCAAAGCTATGTATCGTATAACTGTGATTAATAGAAATTAAAATGAGAGGAAATAGAGTCAAACAGTTTTCTTATAGTTTCAAAGTTCTCATACATGGAATTTTTTTCCTGATATTCTTTGTATCATTTACATATTCTTTAAACCCCAAGTATTTTTTTGTTGTTGTTAGTATTTAACTGATACACCAAGGCATTCTTTATTCAGAAAAGCAAAATGTAGTACAAATGGACACATCCTTTTTTTTTCTCTTGTTCAAAATGATTAGAAATGAAGTTAGAAAGCAAAAATAGTAAACACACCTAAATTCCTTCAGTTCCCTTATCTGTACTGTAAGTATCTTAGTTTATGCTTTCTGTAGTCACAGAAGCCCTTGATTCATGTGCCTGGTAGTTTGACATCATTCCATGGCTACAAATAACACCCTCGGGCCCAGCCAGCTGGCTCTAAACAGGAGTCATGGATTGCTGACAGGGAGCCTGATGAGACAGTGAGGGGAACTTGAAGTGCATTCAATGGCACTCAAGCAAAAGCCAATGTAAGGGGCAAAACTGGAGCAGTGGTATGGAGTCACCCAGATGTGTTCTCGTCGGTTGTCTAGAGGCTGCTATGATATTTATAAATTAAGGGACTTTAATATTAGAAACTGAGTTTGCTGCTTTTAAAATTATTCAACTTCTGCTAATGATTTTCTCTAAATCACTTAAAATAGATTGTCCATCCTAATTATGCACATTTAACTGATTACAAGATCAGTATAAAATTTCCTGGAGTACTGAAGGATGGTATGGAATGAATTGTCCGATCCCACAGTATAGTAATTATCCCCTTTCCCCACCTCTGACGAATTGGAGATAATTAACTTTGACCAGAAATTTAAACTGTGATTTCAGTACAAGTGATCGATGAACTCGCTTTGATCCATGAAGAACAGAAATGTTCCATGGTTTGTGGTGGAGGCCTCTGAAAGTACCTTCTTCAGAGGAGCCTCACTGTGACACTGCAAGAAAGAGGAATTTGAACTAAACAGAATGCAGGTGGATTTCTGTGCCAGCAAGCTCCTGCCAGTAACTTCCACCTCCAGCGATAAGTGGGTGCCGTCTGTGCATACGGCAGAGTCAAGGGCAGCCCAGGAAAACCTGGTGAGACTTGCTCTTAATCACTGGTGACCGAAGTCCTGGCCATTTGTATTCAGGACAAGTCCCAGTCCTAGGCTGGCTTGACACTTGAGCAAGGTCACCAAGGCACAGGCCATGTAAAGTTTCCCTCTCTGTTGTTCCTGGTGTTCAGTCTCCATGGCAGCTGGAATTCATCTTTACGTAATTCTCAGCAGAAATAAGGAAGACACAAAGGGAGAGGCTTTGCCAGAGCCCTTCACAATCTTTCTCTCCCTCCTGCACGGAGGACAGGAACCTGAGAAGTGTAATCCCTGAGCTGGGCCCATCACCACCCACATCGTGTTAGAGTTCGGTTATCAAATAGAAGGAAGAATGAAGCTCAGGCGGGCACTTAGCAGCTGCCTACCTGAGCCCTGTTGCTGCCAACAGAGGTAGCCACTCTCTCAGGAGGAGGGGTCAGCCACCTGAGTTGTCTTGACCAAGCACTGCACTATTTTCTCTCTTAGCTCTCCCTTTTCCTGCTTCAGAAATCAGCAAATCTAAAGCTCATTTGCTACTGCTAAAAAAAAAAAAATCACAGCATGAATGTGCAAGAAAATTGAAACCCACTTTCTTTTTTTTTTCTAACCAATCTTCTCTCGTAGGTTCCAGAGTCTCAGCTTTTACCAGGACAGAGGTTTCAAACTAAAGGTATGTTTTCATAGCAACGCTGTTTTTTTTTCTTGATTGTGAAAACCTCTTACAGTGGTTTCCTTGAGTTTTGTACATACATTTTTGTTGTAGGAACATACAAATAACATAAAATTCACCATCTTAACCGTGTTTGAGCTGCTCAGAGGCAGAAAATACATTCTCACTGTTGTGTAACCATCACCACCCTCCATCTGTTGAACCTTCTCATCTGTCCAAACAAGAACTATGTAGCTGTTGAACACTGACCTCCTATGCCCATACCCAGCCCTGGCCACCTTCTACATCTATGCTGTCTGTGTGAATTTGACCACTATAGGTATCCTGTATAAATGGAATTATACAATATCTTTCTCTCTCTGCCTTATCTCACTTGGTGCAATGACTCTAAGATTCATCTAGTATATAGCATGTATCAGAATTTCATTCTTTTTTAAGGCTGAATGAGATGCCATTGTACACACACACACAGCCCATTGTTCTCCATTCACCCACCCATGGACCCTGGGCTGCTTCCATCTTTGGATACTTGTGAGTAATGCTGCTATGAACACAAGTATCTCGTTTCCTAAATACACAATTAGAAGGAATCACAGTTGTGGGTTTACATGGTTCATTCTTTGTGCCTGTTGAGAGAGTGTGTGAACATGTTTCTGCTGCTGAGTCCTCCAAGATCTTCCCTTGTGTTCTTGCTTTTTAGATCCAGAGGAGCAAGGGGACATTGTGGTAGCCTTATATCCCTACGATGGCATCCACCCGGATGATTTGTCTTTCAAGAAAGGAGAGAAGATGAAAGTGGTGGAGGAGTAAGTGCTCCCAAAGCTGTGTGATGCTTCTTCTCTCAGGCCATTGGGACCTGCAGTCTGTACCTCATTTTGCTTGCAATGGCAGAGTGACAGCCAGACTGTCTGCTTGAGGACAGGTGACCTCCCAGCCCCCAGTGCAGAATGGCTTCTGCCTTGGAGAGAGTAGGGCCAAGACATCTCCCTGAGGAATCTAGCTGAGAGCCTTTCAGCTTTATCTTTGAGGAGTCAATGGGTTTTTGTTTGTTTGTTTGTTTGTTTTTTGTTGTGTTGTTTTGCCTTATACCTTAAGAAATTTGGGTTTGGGGAATGATGTTGTGGCATAGTGGGTAAAGCTGCCAACTGTGTTCCCAGAGTCTCATATGAGTGTCAGTTCAAGTCCCAGATGCTCCATTTCTGGTCCAACTCCCTGCTAATACACCTAGACAAGCAGCAGAAGATGTCTGAAGTGCTTGGGCTTCTGAATCTACATGTGAGACAAGAGGAGGATCCTGGCCCATGGCTAAAGCATGTCCCAGCCCTGGCTATTGAGGCCATTTGAGCAGTAAACTAGTCTCTCCTACTCTCCCTCATCTCTCCTCTCTGTAGCTGCCTTTCAAAAATATTTTTTAAAAAAAAGTTAGGTTCTGAGTTCATTTAAAGATGGTCTCTTCTTACTGTTCTGATATACGGCATTGTTGTTAACTATATTGACTCTAATGTGAAAGCAAACACTGGCTCCCTGTCCATCCTACCCATCTCTGACTTTGTGCTTGTGGCCTGACCTAACCCCATGTCCCAAGCCTCTTCAAGGGCAGCTCCCCTGTTAAGACACTTGAATGTGGTCATTTGTTCCACCTTCTGTGCTGACTCACAGACAGGTGAGCCCTGTCGGATCACATAGGTACAGGGCAATACTAAGAAGAAGGAACTCTAGACTGGCACTTGCCACAGTGGCTGGGACACAGCTTGGGACACCTGCATTCCACATTAGAGCGCCTGGGTTTGAGTCCTGGCTCCACTCTTAATACCAGCTTCTTGATAATTCACACTGTAGGAGGCAGCGGGTGATGATGGTTCAGGAAGTCAGGTCTCCGTCGCCTTCAAGGGAGGCCCACACTAAATTCCCAACGCTTGGCTTTGACCCTGTGTAGCTTTGGCTGTTGTGGGGAGAAGACTTCAGTCTGTGCCTCTGTCTCTGCTTTTCAAATAAACAAAATTAATAGATAAACACTTTAAAAAGCGAAACAGATTCCAGCTACTACTTTTCTACAAGTTTCTATTTTTCAACTAAAAGTTTTCTTTTCTACTAATTTTGCATGGCATTGTATGCTAAGATAGCATGGGTTTAGAATAGGAAGTACTTGGTGTTGGTTTCAGATACCTTTCATCTCTCATAAACAAGGATCCTGTCTGCTTTCAGGCATTCAAAGGATATAGCTGAGATTCACAGGGACCCAGTTCTTTCTCTCTCTCTTACCTGCTCTTTCCAGTGCTGGCCCAGCCTCCTCCTGTCCTGACCTGCTGTCTCGTTGATGCTTGGAGCATAATGATGGGGCTTCCCTGCTTAGAATTGTTTTATGGTTTTCTTTTGTCTCATGGTGTCCATCTGTATGTTTTACTAACAAAGGGGTTAATAGCATATGAGTTATTGATATGAACTCCAGGTTCTTTGCTTTTCTTGTAATATCAAGTGGCAAGAGATCCATGTTCAACTCCTTCAAGGTTTATGAAAAGTGTCTGCTTAAGTGCGGGAAAGATAGCATGGCAGGAAGAGGTTCAGCCCATTGGCTCAATGACAGGAGCAGGGCAGTGGTTTTTACTGGAAGAAGAGACTGTGGAGTTTTCCCTTTGGCACCTAGCACTTTGATCTGCACTGACTCAGAGTGCTGACTTCGTTCCCTGATTACAAGGACACTTCACTTTGGACCTGCCTTGGTGTTCTGCCCAGGCACTGTTGTTTGGGTTTTACTTTTGTTTTGTACACAACACATTCAAAATGGTGGTATTGCTACCACCACATCAGGAAGGGTAAACTGGGCTATTCTGCAAAAGCCCATAGGTCAGGGATCCTTACCAAGGAAACTGGGTTTTTCATTGTTACTGTTGTTGTTTTAATATATTTATTCGTATTGGAAAGTCAGATATACAGAGAGAAGGAGAGACAGAAACGATCTTCTGTCCACTGGTTCACTCCCCAAGTGGCCACAATGGCCAGAGCTGTGCCAATCCAAAGCTAGGATTCAGGAGCTTCTTCCAGGTCTCCCACATGGATGCATGGTCCCAAGGCTTTGGGCCATCCTCTAGTGCTTTCCCAGGCCACAAGCAGGGAGCTGAATGGGAAATGGGACAGCTGGGACAGGAACCAGCACTCACGTGGGATCCCAGCACATGCAAGGCGAGGACGTTAGCCACTAGGCTACCTTGCTGAGCTCAGCAGTGGGTCTTTTGGCCAAAGGATTTGGATGCTCTTTGCCTTGTAGTGGTTTGGAGCTGGATGTGGATCCATGTCAAGTGGGGACAGCTTGTCTCGATCGCGTCTCACTATGGCCTATCATGCCCTTCACGGCCATTTCTGAATGGAAATTAGCTCTGTGAGAGAAAGTACAAATGCTTTGCTTCTGCAAGAGGAGAGCATTTTTACCAGTCCTTATTACCATGACCCACGCAGCATGTCTAGGTTTGGAGAGGGAAGCAACATGCAATCGAGAAAATAAGAAATGAGACAGACACAAGATGAAGATGATAAAAGTGGGTGGCAGAGGAAAGCCCCCTTTCTCTAAGAGAGGGAGGTCAACCCAGAAAACTCTCTGCCTCAGCCTCTTATTGGGAAATCAAATTACAGGATTTGGGTGGTACAAATATTGATAGTCATGCCTTATATTCACATTAATCAGACAATGTTTGATAATAAGGAGGCAACAAGGTGACCCAAGTACAGGTTAGTTCTGTGGCCTTGGACCACTGCGCATGTGGATGCTTTCCCACAGGCCTCAACCTTGGTCTTGAACTTTTGTCCACCTGTAGGCCATTGCCCTCAGACTTCAACCTTAAGCTCTGGCACCAGCAGTCTGTGAATTCAAGACTTAGTGTGCCCTGCCCTTCTTTATAAAGTGAAGCCTTTTTTTTTTTTTTTCCAAACTGGTTGTGGCACTTTTTTCTATAGCACAGAACACAATGACCCACATTTGTATCCTCAAGCTGTTTTCCTTTGCTCTAGCCTCCAAATATCTTTATTTCATCAAGAAATGTGAATTGTTCTCCTGGATTGGGGTTGCAGGGATGTTGCTCATCCACCTTCAGCAAACACCTCAAGAAAATTGCTGTTTTAATTCTTAGCGATAAATACAATTGATGTGCATTTCTCTTGTAGGCATGGAGAATGGTGGAAAGCTAAGTCACTTTCCACAAAGAGGGAAGGCTTCATCCCCAGCAACTATGTAGCCAAAGTCAACACCTTGGAGACAGAAGAGTGAGTGCTTGCATGTTATTCTCTTGCTTGGTGGTGTTCCCTGTGTTGGATTTCTTGTTGCTGTTCTTCATCGCGCTCCTTCCGCTCCTTCCGTGACTCATGCTACCCATGTAATATGAAAATGTCTCCGCAGGTGGTTTTTCAAGGATATAACCAGGAAAGATGCCGAGCGACAACTCCTGGCACCAGGGAATAGCGCCGGAGCCTTCCTTATCAGAGAAAGTGAAACACTGAAAGGTAGGAAGTGGTTGAAGGTCACTTGGAAGACACTATTTAGAAAACTATTTTCAGATGCTACTTAGAACTACTGAAAAAAACCCAGAAGGATATAATATATTCTGATTGTGAATGTTTTGAAAAAGTTTTTTGTTTATTTTTATTTATGAGATTTACAGAGAGAAGGAGCTATAGAGAAGTCTTTCATCCACTGGTTTGCTTCCCAGATGGACACACAGGCCAGAGCTGAGCTAATCCACAACTGGGAGCCAGGAGCTTCTTCAGGTCTTTCCTGTGGGTACAGGACCCCCAGGACTTGAGTTATCCTCTGCTGCTTTCCCAAGCAACAAGCAGAAAGCTGGATTGGAAGTAGAGCAACCAGGGCACCAACTGGCATCCATATGGGATACTGGCAGTGCAGATGAAGAATCAGCTTGCTATACCACCGTGCCAGTCCTGGTTGCGAATGTTTTATAATCTGATCACTAACATACAACTCAAATGATCATTTTTTCCACTCTAAGTAATACAGAAAACAGGCATAATTAAATTATGGCCAGTTCTTATGCCATATTTTTGCTGAACTTTTTGTATTATTGTCAGAATAAATCCTGAAATTTTAACAGAGAAAAAAAATCAAAGTAATTTCTCAAGTCAACTAAATAATTATTGAAAGGGATGGAGGTAGCCAGGCCTTGTGGTGTAGCAGGTTGCACAGCTGCTGCTGATGCCCGCACCCTGGATCAGAGTTCCCATTCTACTTCAGATCAAGCTTCCTACTATTGCATCTTAGAGGGTACAGGTGAAGGCCCAAGTTCTTAAATCCCTGCAGTGCAGGGGAGCTCCAGACAAAGTCCCAGGCTCCTGGCTTCGGCCTAGCTCAGCTGTGGCTGCTGTGGGCATTTGCAAAGTGAATCAGAAAAATGAAGGCTTGTCTCTCTGCTTTTTGATTAGATGGAAATAACAATGCAACAAAATCATTATTAAGAAGGACACAGCAACTTGGTCAACTGCTCAGTAAATAAAATGCTAGCCTCATTTGACAAGTAGAATTTTTATAGAACTGTTAGAACTGTGTGTTATATACAAGCTTAATTTATACTTTGTATATATTATAGCAAAATGTGTAATACAGTGCTATAAGATAGTACATAGAAAGTGGAATCAAAAGATAAGTTTATTTGGATACAAAAGTTTTTAAAATTCATATATACCAAGAATCTTCAAAAAATTCATTGAAATATAACTACATGGGTTTGAAGATTTTTTTGTTCCCAAGTAGTCCATCTTTCAGTTCCATCTGCCACATGTGCAATTTGCCACAAATTTTATGAATTAATTGTGTGTAAGGGTGATCTCATTTGTGAAATGTCCACACACCTTACTTGTTCATTTTCCCCATAGGAAGCTTCTCCTTGTCTGTCAGGGACTACGACCCTGTGAATGGCGATGTGATCAAGCACTACAAGATTAGAAGTCTGGACAATGGGGGCTATTACATCTCCCCACGAATCACCTTCCCCTGCATTAGTGACATGATCAAACATTACCAGAGTAAGTAAATGCGAAAAGCTAGAGAACACAGCATGTTTACAATGACCTTATTTTTATGTTGAAATGTTTTGTGTATTGTTATCTTTTGGATAAAATTGTCTTGTCATATTGTTCAGTTGTTTCTCAATAATCTGTAATTATATATGCAAATAGTTCTCCACTTTCCATGGGGTTGTGTCCCAATCAATCCATTGTGAAACTATCATAAATTGAAAGTGCTTTTAATACATTTGACATACCAAATACCGCAGTTCAACGCAGCTTACTTCAAGGACATTGGCTTAGGACACAATATAATAAGGTGTTGAGTAGCTCATGTAATTCACTAGAGGTAATAGAATGGAACTAGGGGTACAGTTTTGTGCTATTCTAAATTTAAAAAAATTTTTTTTCAAGACAAATCATTTTAAGTCATTAAAAGGAAGAGTTGACATTTGTAATTATTCCAGCCCTTCCTACATCATCCATGTTGTTTGTCATTCACTGTTCCACACTTAGCAAGAGAAGTTATATACACACATATGTAAGAACACACATACATATATATAATTTTTACTGTGCCCAAATATCTGGACTAGGAGTGCAAATTTGCAAATCTGTGTCTTTGTGTACAATGGTATTATGTGTGCACAAAAGCAACACATACTCTTCATAAAGGAAAACAGAAGTAACAGCACTCCCCCCACTGCTAAAATAATTCAAAGTCGTTGATCAGTGTTCTTGATATCAGCTGTTACATTCCAGTGCTGCCAAGCCTGTACCCATGACCTTGAGGTTTGCTCCTTAGTGAGTGAAGTCAGGTGCACCACCTGTTGTCACCTCTTCTTTTCAACACCTGCTTTAAAGGAATGTACAGGTTAGGTGCCAGTATGTGGAGGCAGCATGCCTCCAGTTTTATGCAATTCCTCTCCCTCTATCATCCCTATTCATTTATCTATTTGGCATTTGTGTTGAGATCATGCAGTGCAGTGTAGTGCTGTGGACATATAATTTGCTAAGTGTGCCAGCCCATGTTTCAAATTGTATTTTTCAAAGTCCTGTTTGTGCAAAGCACACAATCCCATCAGTGTTTTAGATTCTTAGACTGTGCCAAATTGGACATCCTAGGATTAAGAGTTTAACTTCTTCGGACAGAAGGCTACTAAAAACCAAGACTCTGCATTTCGTAACTGTCATTTTCCTTTTAAATTCAGAGCAGTCCGATGGCTTATGCAGAAGGTTGGAGAAGGCGTGCATTAGTCCCAAACCACAAAAGCCTTGGGATAAAGATGCCTGGGAGATCCCGCGAGAGTCCATCAAGCTGGTGAAAAGGCTTGGCGCTGGACAGTTCGGGGAGGTCTGGATGGGTGAGTGCATGACTCTGGGGTCAGTATCCGCAACAGAGGCCAGTGTCTCAGGGACCTCATCTCGTTTGCTTCATCTGCCCATCAGGGGTGACTGACCTGCAAAGTCTTTTTGTTTTGACTTCACTGTTTCTTGTAACATAGCAGTTCTCTTAATGTTTTCAAGGAGCAGAGCAATGGGAGCTTAGCCCAAGAGTTTTCTCAGTCATGATTTGCTCAGCATCTGAATCTCTGGGCACACATTTTAAGTGGAAACTTGCTTTTGTTTCAGAGAAAGGTGCACCTAGGTTTGGGACCTACTGGTTCAGTTGGAAATCCTAAACTTCTAACAAAATGAGGATTGCCAATAAAGTTTCCAAAGCTACTTGGCGGACTATCAGAGCGTGCACCCAAGTGATCTCCTCTCAAGGGATCCTTTATGTCCAAAGTTGTGCAGTCAATCTAAGTTGCCTTATGAAAGCAATATGAAAACAAAGCAGATGTTCTTTATGTTTTTTCACATACTCTTTATGGCTCTAATGGAAAACGCAGCTCCTGTGGGGAAAGCGTGTGAAATCACTCACATATGATGGCCACTTCGTTAGTGTCAGCTCTGCATCATTGGGCATGAATGTGATTTCTTAATGCAATGAGCAGCTGGATTTTTCTGAGCAGGAACTGGGTGTGTCCAGCTGGGGTCAGGCCCACTTTGAGCAGCGCTCAAGTGAGGCACATACTTGTCCAGTGTATAACTGATTCTGACCAACCCACCAGTCATTGTGAACATATGTTTCAAATTCAAGTACTTTGCAGTTATGTGGTCTCACATTGTCCTTTTGCGTGGCATATTTCAAAACCCGACTGTGGTGTCTATAAGGGATTCAATTTCCTTTCCTGTTAGCACATGTGTGAGCATGAAACACTACTGGTGGGCATTTAGGCTAGCAGTTAGGAACCCCAGCTAAGACCTTGTCCTGTATTGGTGCATCTGGGTTTAACGATCAGCAGTGGCTCCTGACTCCAGCTTCCTGCTAACGCAAACGCTAGAAGGCAGCAGTGATGGCTCAAGGTACTGAGTTTCTGATCAGCTATGTGGGAGATCCGGATTGAGCTCCCAGCATGTAGCTTTGACCTGGCCATGTAGCTTAAACGCGGCCATGGAGTGCTTCTGAAGCGTGAACCAGCAGAAGGCAAGCCTTGTTTCTCTCTTCTTGCTCTTAAAAAAAAGAAAAAAGAGAGAGAGAGAGAAAAGGATAGATAGAAAGACAAAGAAAGATGCCATACCATCATCCAACAACTCTTGGATAACTGCCGTGTTCGTTTCTGCCTCTTGAATGGCTTCTCTAACTGCCTCATGAAAGTGGAATCATTCCACATTTGCTTTGTTTGCATTTGGCTTGTTTCAGCAAGCATAAAGTTTTCAAGGCTCATCTAGACTATGGGATATATCAAAAATCCATTCTTCATGTCTGAGTAATATTCCATGATATGGCTAATGGATAGTCTGGTTGCTTCTATATTTTGGCTCTTGTGAATAACACTGCTTTATTGTTCCCCTTCAAGATATTTACATTAGTTTCTTAATATTTATTATTTTCAAACCCATAGAATAGGGCAGGAAAATTAGCAAATGGTCAGGCTTCACCCAGACTGACCATTTGCCGATATTTTATTCTATTGACTTCATCCTTTGTATCTACACATACTTGTTGCAGAAGTGACAGAACTCCTGCAGTGTAACTCTTAGTTGCTGAATGTTTCTGTCTCCAAGAGCGAAGTCATTATCTTACACCATGCAAGAGCCATCATTCTGAGGAACTGAACACTGGCACACACCATTACCTCGAACAGAGGTCATATTTGAATTTCATCCAATTGCCCCAATGATGTCCTTGTGGTTTTTTCCACTGCCTGATCACGTACATGACACATCTCAGTCACCTTTGATCTCCAACAGTCATTTGTTTTGTGGCCTGTCCCACCACTGGGATTTTTCCAAAGTTTCTGTGATGTTGCTCAGATTGTGCCATTGACCAGGTTGTCTAAGGAACTACATGATTCTTTGCTTTCTGTACACCCCTTGAGAGTCACTCAATGGCAGTTGGTTCCATTCCTGCAGGTGTTGGTTCCATTCCTGCAGGTGTTTGAATTTTTTTTAAGGTTTTATTTTTATTACAAAGTCAGATATACAGAGAGGAGGAGAGACAGAGAGGAAGATCTTCCGTCCAATGGTTCACTCCCCAAGTGAGCCGCAACAGCCGGTGCTGCGCCAATCCGAAGCCAGGAACCAGAAACCTCTTTTGGGTCTCCCACGGGGGTGCAGGGTCCCAAGGCTTTGGGCCATCCTAAATGGCTTTCCCAGGCCACAAGCAGGGAGCTGAATGGGAAGTGGAGCTGCAGGGATTAGAACCGGCACCCATCTGGGATCCTGGCATGTTCATGGCAAGGATTTTAGCTGCTAGGCCAAGGCGCTGGGCCCCAGATGTTTGATTTTTAAAGGGAATCACCAGACTCCTCTATTTTACACACTTTCATCGTTAACAAAGAATCTGTGGGAAAATTATTGAAGACAGTATGAAGAGAGCTTTCCCCAGATGGCTTTGGCGTGAACTACTGGTCATGAATTCTCTTCCTCTTTAGAATCCATAGCTTCTGCAGAAAACTGCAGTGCTTCCTGTGCCTGTACACTCCCTAATCTGGTCTGCTTGCTACACAGGCCAGACTTCTGCCTTCTCTCCCTGGCCTTCCCTTTCAGGCCCTGTATCTTTGCTGGAAGGCTCATGCTTTAGATTTTTGTGTCCAATCGAGTGTTCTTTGCTTTACCATGCCATGAGTGGGAGGAAGCGGTGGGTGTAGAGGGGTAGGAAGAGGAGGGGACAAGGAGACCAGAGAGTGCACCAGCTATACAACCCTGCCCTGCCTGCATTTTCATGGATTTTCTCATGTGCCTTTCACATTGGCATTCTTCTTATCATTTGATAGATGAGAATGCTGAAAATCTGATTAACAGCCTGGCCAATTTTATTCAAAACAGTGAGAGCTAGGCTGCTGCTGCTGCTTTTTAAAAATTTATTTATTTATTTGGAAGCATTAGAGAGAGAGAAAGAGAGATCTGCCATCTGCTAATTCACTCCCCAGATGGCCATAACAGCTGTGGCGGGAAAGACTAAATCCAGGTGTCAAGGGCTTCTTCCAGGTTTCCCATGTGAGTAGCAGGGGTTTAAATCCATGGCCTGTCTTCCAATGTTTTTTCCCCAAGTCCTCATGTGGGAGGATCAAAAGTGGAGCAGCCAGAGCTCCAACAGGTGCTCATATGGGATTCCAGTGTGGCAGACATTGGCTTTACACCATGGTGTCAGGCTCTGCTCTGGCTTCTTCAGAACCCTTGGTTATCTGCAAGTGCATTTGACTTCCCCAGCCTCAGTTTCCACATCACTGAAATGAACAATCAGCTGTCTCATTGGTTGTTGAAAGGAAGAGTGAGACTACGTGCCTGAAGTGTTTCCCACACTGCAGTCCTGTGTGCTCTAATTTTCCTATTATTTGCATTTGTCTGTGTTTGACTGCAGTCACTGGAAGCTATTTTTGGATGATGTTTCCCCCATATTAATCATGAAACTGAACCATAAATAGTCCAATGAGATCTTCTTATGGATGTTTGCCTGTAAAGGAATTGCCATGTGTTATGAAACTTTGGGGTGCTTAACCAGGATGTTCTTACTTACGTGGAAAGAGATGGCTTGAAATCTTTTAACCTCCCTGAGGTCAGCTGTGCAGTATCAGCAGACTCAGTCAAACCATAGCAGTGGATTGTCTGTGACATGTGCTTTCTGTCTAGGTGACATTGTTGCATGGCCTCAGAAATGCTGCGATTAGCAGGGTTGGCAGTATCTCTTCCAGGGCGGGTGGCGAGGGCAGCGCTGACTTCATGTTGTGCTTCTGTCCTGACCAAAGCCTAGGGGCATAATAATAGTGAAACAGGAAATTAGTTAGGCTGTGCTGCTGATTAGGGAAGTTATCCTTTTGAGGAGGAAGAGATTTTGATGGTCCTGTTGCATTTTATTTTTTTTAAAAGATCTATTTTTATTTGAACAGCATATTTTACAGAAAAATAAAGAGAGAAAGAGGTCTCGCAGCCACTGACTCACTTCCCAAATGGCTACAATGGCCAGAGCTGAGCTGAGCTGATCCGAAACTGGTAGCTGGGAGCTTCTTCCTGTTCTCTCAAATGGGTAAATGGGCCCCAGGACTTGGGCCATCCTCTGTTGCTTTTTTAGGCCATAAGCAGAGAATTGGATCAAAATTGGAGCAGCTAAGACATGAACAGGCACCCCAGATGGGAAGTCAGGGCTAGCAGGCAGAAGATAAGCCTGCTATGTCTCTGCTCCAGCCTCCTTTTATATTAGGATCATGAGTGAATGGAGGGGTAAGCTCTTGACCAGTTCTGTGGCGGTGATGTGCCAAGGCAACCAGCTGCTCACCCACCCTCAAGAAACTGTTGCAAGAACTAGCAGCCGGAGGGTGGAGACAGGTTGCCCCCAGCGGAGACCTGCATAGAGCCCCCATGCTCTCCAAGGCTCATACCCATGCTGAAATTGTGACTCGGGGGCTCAAGCCTGTTGGCCCCTTCTTAGACTGGTAAACCTCTCAAAATCCCCCTTTCCATTCTCTCCTGTCCTACTTCATGGGCTTCACTGGCCCCGCCTGCACTTGGGCTGTAGAGAATGTGTATCTGTTATATACCCAGAAAGTGCCTGGGAGAATCTGGGGTTTAGAAGACAGAATATGTTCTGAGGGTCCTCGAAAGACATCTATTGAAAAACTGGAGAGGAGAACAATGAGAGTGGGTGGGAAGGGTGAAGGGAAACCCTAATGCCTATCAAACTGTGTCATAAAATAAAGAATAAAAAAAAGAAGAAGAAGACAGAATGTGACTTTGAAAAAACATGTGGGTGTTTAATTCTCTTGTACTGTCTGAGATAAGATCAAAGATTTGTGAAAATGAATCACGTAGGGAGCTCGTC